ACCAAAATCTCTACCAAATTTAGCAAAATTTATGCTGTTTACATATCATAATTGACTTTCAAATCCCACAAGAAGTCATCTTAGAATCTTAACATTCGCCCTCTAACCAAAAAAAAAAAAAAAAAACCTGGATTTTTTTTAGTTTATTGTTTTTGGATTCTAATCCATTTGAAAGCAGTTTTACTAGTCTCAGAGCTGGTTTTAAAGCAGTAATTGGATTGTACTTTACAAGATGTAGGCATTTGTGTTAAGTATTAACATGCGCCATTAAAGAGTTTTACACAGAATTATACTGTGTAATTATACTGACCAGGGTTTGATGAGGAAGAAGGAGTTCTTTGGAGTGTTGATCCCATCATACACTTTATTTGACCCTCTGGGGCACATTCAAGTTGCCTATACCCTGAAGAAAAAAAAAACGGTTTAGACCAGCATGAATTTCTGTAAATTAGTTTTCTTTATTTTTCAACTGATTTAAAATCTAAATGACAAACTGTGCATTAAAAAATTATTAATTTTGCACACTTGCTCAAGGCAAAGATTGTAGTCTATTAAAGAGCTTGACTTTAAAAGGATTCAGCCTGAAGGTTCATACACATCACAGAAAAACACACCACTCATGACTTATTAAAGAGCTGTCTGGGACACTGTTACTACAGTGTGTTCAAAATATTTTGAACATCAGTTATAATGATGATCTGATGACAGAAACATAACACTGTACACGATGCTTTGTGTTTGCGGTGGGTCTTAAAGAACACTGCACTAAATATGCATTGATAATCCTTCATCATATGTTGGCACTCGACTTCCTATCATTAGTAACTTTATATGTTATCTATGGTTTAGCACCCCACTGAGATCAGAGGGATTTCATATGTTGTCCTCGAGAGTGTGTGGAAGAACAGAATTTTGGATGAGATGTAGTGTCTTGAATCATCAGATGTGGGCTCAGTTTCAATAACATCTCGAGCACAAATGTATACAGTATATTTATTTTATATATTGAGGGATTTCTAAGCGCTTTTGACTAGCATAACTAAGAAATAATAGAAATAATAGAAAATCATCATGAACTTTAACTGTGCTAATGGTTAACTATACGTTTTGACCAATTTAAGTCTAATTTTAAACCTATATAATAATTTATGCTTTGAAAATTGCTATGACGTCTGTTGAGTGGACTAACTTGACTTAAAGGGACTATGCAAATAAAGAAATGCTTAAAATGATCAATTAACAGTACATGAGCACTTTGTTTTCATGGAACGTAAATGGTCAAAATTATGGATTTGTTGGAAATATAGCTCAACATGCTGTCAGTTGAAGTTGTTTCTTACTAGCTTTAACAAAGATGCAAAAGCAAACAGTATTTGCATATTCATATGTTATGTTGGGTTTTTGCCAGCCAAAGTCACTTAGGCACTCGATAGCTAAAGGCAATAGAACAAATGTATATTGGAAATTGGACTCTAGACTTTCTGAGCAGAAGATTGCTATCTGCCAGTGATCTCCTTCTAGCTGAATGTGCTGCCCTGTTCCCCAGCTTAGTTCTTTTTTAGGAAAAGAAACAAAAATAAGCAATGACTGTTCAATCAAATATTAGCATCCAAACTGAAAGTTACTGGTTCTTTTGTTATTTATGCAGACATGCACAGCCTCACTGCGTAAAGATTTTTACTTTAATTTGGATTCAGAATGAGAGTGAGCATTTTTATTTTCAGTTATTTGCTCAAATGTCTCATTCTGTTTTAGGTTTGATCAGACCTCATTAGAATGCAGTTAAATACTAAATTTAAGGAATTGAGAATACTTATCCATATACAGACTTGAGAAGGTTCAAATATGTACCATCTTTATAACTCACTGTGAGATTTAGCAGAACAACCTTGAACAGAACAGTTTGATGTATTGTATTTCTCATGGTGAAAAATAATAATAGTATTGTGTCTTTTCAGCAAGGCCGTAACCATGTCTTGAACATTGGGGGGGACCAAGTGTATATATATATATATATATATATATATATATACACACAGGTGTTCTATATTAATGCATTGCTTTAATTGAAACACACACACACACACACACACACACACCCCACTAGCACACACAAACATTCAGGAGCACAGAAACTTCCTGTCAAAGCTGCCCCACGAATTTTATTAATACAATAGTTTCAATAATGAATCTCTACATTATATTTCTCAGCAACAAGGAGGTAAAAGAGCTGTTTTTGAAGTAAACTCACAGCTTTATTGTTTGTAGAGAGAGACGCACAGATGCAGTTAACCCTTGTATGGTGTTCGGGTCTGTGGGACCCGTTTTCACTTTTTGTCAAAAGAAAAATTATACGATTAATTATTTTTTCAAACTCATTCAGGTCCACTGGACCCGGGGGTAATAAAAGTGTGGAAATTTTAGGTCCTTTGTACCTTCAATCTGTCCTCCTACTGTCTGGGACTGCTATTAGTATGGGTATGTGTGTTTATGTGTGTGTGTGTGTGTGTGTGTGTGTGTGTGTGTGTGTGTGTGTGTGTGTGT